TGTGAGAATGGAGAAATCTTCTGTTCGTTCGGGTACGTTGGTAGCTGGTCGTCGACTGGGGGTTTCTGTTCAACAGGCGCGTAGTATCCTCCAGCGGCAGAGGGGGTTTGGTTATAACCCTGCTGGTTCATGCTTGGTGGTGGCATGTTGTTATTTTGCGTGTAGGCAGTAGCAGGGGCAGGGGCCGGGGTGTTATCTGGCTTCTTGCGTAGAACAAACCACCAGATTGCGATGAGGATGGCGGAAACGCCAGCAACGCAACCTACAACGATACCGGCGATAGCGCCGCCCCCAAGCCCAGCGCCGTTGGGGGATGGGGGTGGGGTAGGGGTAGGGCTGGGAGTTGGTGAGGTTGAGGTAGATGGTTGTGGGGAGCCATCTGTACCGGTATTGGTGGGTTGGTTAGAGTAAGACTCGGTGGTGGAGGATGGGATGTGGGTGGCAGAGTATTTAGAGGCATAGTCCGGTCCGAGGACGGAGGAATAATATTGTGACAATGGCGAAATGTTGTTGGAAACCGAAGCGTACGAGTAGCATCCGTAGAGCTTGGTATTTTGGTTGAAGACATAGGTTCCGCAGTAGGGAAGGGTTGAGATGCTACACTTGAGAGCCAGTGAATCCCTGGAACAAGCTGAGTCGCAACTGACACTTGATGGGTAGCAGGTAGTTGGAATAGTAGTGCAGTCATTGATATTTTTGCTTAGACAGCAACCAGCGGCGTTTCCAGTATATATACAGGTTGCGCGGGCATTGACACAAGTCAGGGGATTCTCTATATATCAAGTTAGTTTTCCCTACTTTCAAGCTAACGGACATCTAGACGAACCTGGGTCACCATCAACCAAACCACAATAATAAGCTGGAGGAGGAAAAGGAATTAACAAGCTGGCAGAGCTGCTGGCCTGTCTCTTCACTAATTCCAGCGGTATTCCATCAGGCAAACCGGGAGGGGGCGTAGGCTTCGGAGATCTCCCGTTGAGGGCGATGAGGCCAGCAGGAGTTGCAACAGGCACCATGTGTTCCAGGTCGGCTGCATCGACGGTAGCGACGGCGAGGAGGGCGGCCACAAGGGCCAGTGAATATCCAACCATGTCGTTGGACTGATGGTACCCGACTTGCGCAGAGGAAGGTGGTATAGAGGGTGAAGTTGACGGTTGATGGGTATTGAACGGAACTTTCCCCAAGGATTCAGAAAATCTGGTCTGCCAGGAGATAGGATAAAAATAGAAACAGCAGATCTCAGGTCTGATATCTCCTGATTATCCCAGCGAAACGCAGAAAGAATATAGCAATATCCGCGTCAGGATATCTCCTCGACCAGAGCAATGCCAGCACAACGGAGAAGCAACAAATCGATGAGGAACAGGAAGAAGAGAAAGAGAAAGGGGAGATGTGAAGGAAGAAAAGATCGGCTGGTCACCTTTTCTTTCCAAAAAAGAAAGGAAAGGAAGCGAGGAAAACACGAAAAACGACAGACAGAGGGAAGCTTTGAGCCTCGCCGCAAGCTCAATATTGAAAGGGGTGCCATACCCAAGATATCTCAGAACGAGCTAGCGAGAAGGTGAGGCTCGTATTTCCCGCCCGCTGACTTGTGGAGAGGAGGTTAGCCTTCGTTCCCCCGAGTCAATAATTGGGTCCATCGCGAGAAAGTGGACTCAGAAACGAGGCTTGAACCAATGGAGGCATAAAATACACACGATGGCACCTTAAACGAGACTCACGCTGGTGCCAGCGGTCAGACATAAATAGTGTCGCAGCTAACTTTCAAGCTTCCTCGAAGCAGGTCTCTCATCATTTTGAGATATTTCGTACTCCGTAGAAAAATTCGATATATTTCAGTGTTCTTTTGTTGACGGACTTCAGATATCATCATTTAACCTCGCTCATATTCAGGGGCTGAAGGATGCGGTCCCATCCAGGATGGCCCTGTTCAAAATAAAAATGCCCGGCCAGCGGAAAAAAAAGCAAGCATAGATAGAAATAGGCACAGCAAACTGCGCCTCGGAGACCACAGGCTGTATCCTATCGTAATACAGAAACAGCCATCTCTTGTGGTTGGAAGAGCGAGCCGGCCGAACCGTTACCATGCCGATACACCGCATCAATTTTAGCGAGAAATATCAGCCTCTTTTCTTTCTGTCCTGCGATGCTTCAGCCGCAGCGAACTGAACATGATAGAAAAAGGCGGGTTTCCTTTCACACCTTTCCAGTCGCTCGAGGGGCAGACCACGTTGTTGCCATGGTACCCGCGGCCATGCAGTGCCATGCCATGCATTATTACTATATGACTTTCCCATTGTTCATAGACATGGTCAAGCCTTTGGTGCCCAAAAAGAGGGTTATGTTTGCCATGAGGTTATTTTTAGCTCTGCCCGCCCGCTTGCATCTTGACATGTCGGATATCTTTTGCTTTGCCACTGCATGGGTTTAATTTTGAGCCATGGAGTCGCTTGTCAAGACTCAAGCCTTTGCTGGTCTGGGGTCTCGTGCGTTCCTTGATGTCTGCTGTTAGCCTTAGCCTTGGTTGCTTGTGTCTGTCTTATCTTATCTCTTCTTTGACCTTAGCTCGTCAACGACTATCCTGTCTCCCCGTCACTTCCAGACTCTTCTTCATCGTCAGCATCGTCATTTCGACCTTCATCGTGTTCATCATCGTCCTCTTATGTTGTTGATGTTGATGTTGACGTCGAGACGAAGTTGAGGTCCTCCGTTTACCACTTTGGGATTACCACGTGACCATCACCTGACATAACTTACTCATCTCTTAGTCATGTCCGGGTGAAATCGGCCCCTCATCACGTGCTCCCACGTGCGGCGGGAATTTGCGGGCACGGGGAACCTCGGGCCGACGGAGACTCTTACTCCGAGCGGACCCCGTGACCTCCCCGGCTATCTTACCTAAGCAATCTCAAAGATACCTCGGAATACTTCCTTCTGCGCTACAACGAATGCGCCTCCAGAGGTATCTCGAAGTATCGCCGGCCATGACGCGAGAGGGGGACCTGGCTCTTCTTTGCTTTTGCTGGCTGCGGGAAACTTCCTCGTGCGTCTTTTCCGCTTGAGTTGAGACCTTTTTTTCCTCATCTTCTCCCCCAAAACGTTGTTCTCTGCTGCCGTTGTTGCTACGTGCATGGCTTCACGTTTGCCTGTTTTGCAACTGGCTGGCTAACGAGGTCAATTGGCGCGCACCCGCGGCGGTGCAGAGCGACGACGACGCAGAAGACGAGGGAAGTAGAAGCGGCAGAAGAAGAAAGGGACCCGGGAAGAAACGACACCCGCCAACGGCAAACTTAGGACGCTTTCGACCTCGGCAGGGCTCCATGCTCTCGTGACGCCGGCTCGAGTCATAGTCGTACGATATAAGGCATTCCTGCGGTTGTAAGAGACGTCTGAGATACAAATACACAGGTCGGACAGTCCAGGCACACTGGCGGCAGGGAGGTTACTTGAGGACACCGTGAGATCGAGGCAGCGAAGGTAGCCATGGCGTGGAGGGCTTCTGAGCGTCTCATGGAGACCATCCGGCACTATGCCTCGTTCCCGGCAACAGGAGTCTCGCTGCGACAGATGGTGCAGTTTGGCGACAAGCCGTCGACAGGTATGTCTAGATTAGTTTCTGTCTTGTTGCGGGGGTTATACTGACTCATTGCTGCAGGAACACTCTTCCGGGCGTCACAATTCCTGTCGGAGGAGCTGCCCATACGTCTGGCTCACAGGGTACGAGAGCTAGGAGACCTACCGGATGGGTTGAACGAGATGCCGTCTATCAAGAAAGTGCAGGACTGGTACGCTCAGTCTTTCGAGGTACGTCTACACAGATATACTGATTCACTATACCCATCACTACGAAGAAATGATATCAACATGGAGATTAGGAGATCACCAAGTTAGAACGGCCAAAGTTGACAGAAGAAGTACGATCACGGCTGCTCAATTCCAGCAGGATGAACGGCCGCGAGCCACGCATGCTGGAACAAGCAACCCCCAACCCCAGCATAAAGCAGGGCCAGTACCGCTCCTCACCAACAACATCCATCCTCAACAGCATCTACAGCAACGGTAACTCCAGCGTAATTGGCAACAATGGCAGCACAACGACGACGACCACGGCGACTAACGGCGCGAAACACCGAGTTGCAGGGACTCGCCGGTACTTTGTTGCTGCGGACGACGGCGCCGATTGGCCGCCGGAATTGATCGACTACAACGCTCGTTTGGCTTCGACCCTAGACAAAATCAAGAGACGACACGACAGCGTTGTGACGACGGTGGCACAGGGCGTGCTGGAGTGGAAGCGCAAGAAGCAGCGGCTGCAGATCGACTCGGGAATACAAGCCTTTTTGGACCGGTTTTACATGTCCCGTATTGGCATCCGTATGCTTATTGGGCAGCACATTGCTCTCACTAACCAGCACCACACGTACCATCCAAATTACGTCGGAATTATCTGCACAAAGACAAACGTCCGTCAGTTGGCGCAGGAAGCCATTGATAACGCCCGCTTTGTCTGCGAAGACCACTACGGCCTCTTTGAAGCCCCCAAGGTCCAGCTCGTTTGTCGTGATGATCTCGATTTCATGTACGTGCCTGGCCATTTGTCACACATGCTCTTCGAGACGATCAAAAACTCGCTGCGTGCAGTGGTAGAGACGCATGGACCAGAGAATGATTCGTTCCCCGTAACCAAAGTCATCGTGGCCGAGGGAAGGGAGGACATTACCATCAAGATTTCCGATGAAGGCGGCGGTATCCCTCGATCAGCCATCCCCCTTGTGTGGACGTACATGTACACCACCGTTGACCAGACGCCCAATCTCGACCCGGACTTCAACAAGAGCGACTTCAAGGCCCCCATGGCCGGATTTGGATACGGTCTGCCCATCAGTCGACTATACGCCCGCTACTTTGGCGGTGATCTCAAACTCATCAGCATGGAAGGGTGAGTCTTTAATCTTCACTTTATTCAATATTACCCCAATCAACTAACGCACAGCTATAGATACGGAACGGACGTCTACCTCCACCTTAACCGCCTCTCGTCCAGCTCCGAGCCTCTCCAGTGACAACTACCAGTCATGAGGAATGGGCGCCCTCTAGTCCAGACATCCCGCCACTTCACGCCAACCTCTCTTGCAAACACTCTCCCAAGCCCATCCTCATTGACGCCAACAACAACTGAATCAGCCATCCCACCACCCCCAAGCACCCCCGAACTCTTTCCATACTTATATAAATCCTCCTCGCGCCCCGCAGCCAAGGAAGCGGGACCCTCCTGGCTAGCGATACCGGCCTCGAACAAGAAGCCGAAGTTGAATTTATACCAGCGTCTGGCTGGCGTGACGGGCTTGACGGCCATGAATTCGTCCGTCATTCGATCACGGGTGAAACGCAGAGAAGTCTCGGAGAGAAAGCAAGTTGGCGATGCCGAGATACTGGTTAACCCCGAGAGAGCAGGCCTGTAGCCTGACTATGTCTTGGATTTTCTCCCCCTTTCTTTTGGTTCTTTTTCTTTTCTTTTCTCTTTTTCCCTCTTTGGTTTTTATTGTACATATGCACATACCACTATCCATCTGTTCCTTTCGCCCCCTGGCTGCATAAGGACAGATACAAGACAAGTGGAAGACCAGGTGGAAGCCACCTACCATGCAAAGGGAGGTACCAACCCTACCGAGCCATCTTACTGCATTTACCACGGAGCTGGAGCAGAGAGGAGCACACAGGCAGGATAAAAAACAAAAATCTGATGTCTTGGGGGGGGGAGTTATTGAGATGATATTACACGTTCTAACAATGTCAGCGTAGCGCACTACAACATACACGTCTTGGTTAGATATTCTTCATTATTAGCTAGTTAAGAACAAGAAATACAGCGCTAAATACTTCAATTTTTTTTTCATACTCTTCCCTTCCCCTTTCTTGTAGAACTAGAACTTGAACCAGCAACATTCCCTCCCACTCCCATCCCCGTTCCAGGAACCGTGCCTCCAGACGGGATTTCCTCATTCCTCCACCCCCCATTGACCTCCACGATATCAACGATAGGCGTATCCGTTCGAACCGTCGCCTCAGACGTACCCCCCAACGAGCGCCCGTCATCCATCCACCTCCGTCCCGGCATGGACTTGGGTATGCTCACACCCGTTAGACTAGCGCCCACCGCATCCGACTTATGTGCCTGCAGCAGCCGTCCTGCGCGGAGGTCATGCACGACATATTTCCGCAGAGGCGGCTTATCAGCTGGTCTGCGAGCCAGGGAGTGTATGAAGCGTTGTCTTGTTTGGGGAATGGACTAGATGCCTGTTAGCAGACGAACGTAATGCATGGGATGGGGTGCGTACCTCGTTGTTAGAGACGGCGTGGAACATGAGCATTTCCAGATCGTCTAGGACGCCTAGGGCTGCGTGCCGGCGTTCTCGCGACTCAGTTGGCTCATTTAGCTCTTCTGCATAGACGAATCTCGGATGCAGATCTTGAGTCCGGTATGGTTGGCCGGGTACTGGACATAATTAACATCTGCTTTATATCATTTCGTTTTTAACTATGGGGTGTTTGTCTACCTGGGGCGCGGGGGGCGATTTCGTATGCTTCCTCTTCGATGTTGGGAGGGTTATTCGGAGACGTGGGGCTGTCGAGGTCCATTCTAGCTAGCACTCTATATATTACACCGCTTGTCTCTGTATTTGTATCTTTATTTATGGGTATAAGATATGGGTATCAAGTCGTGGTTGTCGTCGATCTAGATAATCAAGAAGTGTCGAGGTTGAAGTTCGTTGCCGTCTTACGTAAGCAGATAACTTACTATCAAGTTGGATCTGAATATAAACATCTTCGCATGCATAGTAAAAAAAATAAATGCATTAATTAATATACATAAAAGAAGGCAAAAAGATCAAGCGAGCCCGCATCTATCCCCTCTCTCCCCTCTCCCATCGTCTAGGTAGAAGTAAAGAAGAAGAAGCAGGAAGCAAACGAACTCGTTCATCCCATCTAGACCGGTAAACAACTTGAAGCAGATACAAGGAGTCGGCCTAGATGGAATCAAGAAGTGGAATGGAATGAAACGAAACGAAGAAAGAAAAAGGAAGTAAAGTGACAAACAAAAAAAAAACCATTCTATCCCTCCGCATAACAGCATACATGGCAAGTAAGGCAGTAAGTAAGTAGGTAACATAAATAAAAGGCAAGGTAGATTGATAAGGAAAAAGAAGCGGAGGAGGGAGTGAGAATGAGAATGAGAATGAGAATGAGAATGAGATGAACTGGAGTAACGGGGGGGAATGGTAAGTTGGAAGACACCGATAAAACGCCTTGAACTCCCTGAACCCACTGGACAGGTAGACGGCCGGGAGTGTGGACGGTCTACGTGTTTGGTCGTGGGCTTCGTTTGATGCCGCTAAGGTGGACGAGCTGGTAGTCGTTTTCTTTCTGTACTGGGTCTTGTCTAGACGAGACGAGACATGGCTGACTTTTTGTTATGTGCTTTTTGCTTTTGCTTTTTTTTTTTTATTTAGACTTGCGTTGCTTTTTGGCGTGTTTTTTTGGAATGATTTGATTTGCTTCGTTTTTTCATTTTTTTTAGCATGCGTTTTCTGGCATGTTTGTGTGGTTGTTTGTGGTGGTCGTGCGTGTTTCTCGGTTGTTTAGGCTCGTCTCGATTCGAGCTGGCTTGATGGCATGACACGGCATGGCATGATGGCGGGATGTAGCGTGGTGTAGGTAGTGTTCTTTGGTGGAGGAGGAAGAGAAAGTGTGATGTGTCTTAAGCCAGGTCGCCCCCAAATTGAACGATGGATGTTGGAGGAAGACAGGGATCTAGACAACGTTCGAGTCATCCAACAGTGAACATTCCTTGTTTACCTGGCAAGGGAGATTCACCAGGGCCATCCCACTGTTCTGGCTGTGGGTTGGTCCTGGTAGTAAAGAGTTACTGCTGGCGGGCTCGAGCGAGCTTACCAACAGCCCGAGAGAACGGCGCGGTGCCGGCCAGATGGCTCAACCACAACCATGCACGAAGCTGTTCTTCGGCCAAGGATAGCCCGTATCCGCCCTGTAGGAAGAGGAACAAAATACAACGGTTAGCAAGGCTGGCGCTCTAAAATTCCTAGTCGCTTGGCGTGTCGCATGTTCAGATTCGGGGATTGAGAGCAAAAAGGCTAAAGGCAGGAAGCGGAGATGGGGGGAGGATCGGGGATACGAGGGAGGCTCTTATTCGAGTACGAGGGATGTATATAAGAGCTCCAACACGCCCACGCCTACTGCACGTATGAAGTGGGAAAAAAAAAAAAGCGAGAGTGCAAAGAGTGAGAGTGAGAGAGAGACAATAGAACATACCATGTGGTCAGGTTGGGGTTGTGATAAACATCCTTGTGCTTCCTGATATAGTCTGTTGTCTCCATTCCCGGCGGATCACAGGTGACGCTCTTCTTGTCCTTCTCCTGATAAATGCGGATATAATCTATCCTCATTGTTGCGGGGAACAGCGGTGCGAGACCAGTGAGGTTCAGGGCAGCGAAACTGTTGGACATGCCCAAGTTTGCAATCAGGGCCATGGGCTCGCGGGGGATGATGCGTTGGCCGACGTTGCCGTTGGGGCCGAGGGCGCGGGCGTCGAGCTTCCATGACTTCTCCTTGCCTACGTACCAGGTGATTTCGCCCTTGTCGCCGGGGATGTAGTCGAAGGCGTAGACCTGGTACTCCTTGCCGTTGTACCAGTTGTTGTTGAGGTTGGTGACGCCGGAGATGGCCTGTTGGTAGACACCTCCTCGGTAGGCGTTCATGATGGTGATTTCGGGGTCATACAACTCGGTGAAATCTACTTTCGTTAGTTGAACTGGATTCTCTGGCTATGAATTATGCTAACTGAGAATAGATGCTTACCGTAGTCTGGCATGTACCAGACGTCAAAGGGCGCGACCTGACAACTCTGCGAGACGTCTCCAATGACGTTGATGGGCTTCTTCTCGCCATGCAGAGCGTGGACACTGGCTTCGATCACGTCTATCTCGGGAGAGGTGCGTGATTTGCCTGGCGTGGGATGGTCTGCATCGTCACACGTACAGGCGGGCAGCTTCATGCCCGGCAGGAAACTGAGGCCGCCGGGATCACTCTGGTTGGCAGTGATTCCGGCGTCACACTTGTCGTGGTAGCTGTAGGGCCACATGCCGTCTGTGGTGGCAGGATACCCGGGTCTCCCGAGGTTGCCCATGGCCCAGAAGCCGGGCCAGAGACCAGAGACGTCTCCCCGTCCGGGCAGGGAGATGCTGGCCTCGAGTCTGCCGCCGGTGAAGCACATCTGGTTCCAGGACTGGACCATGCCGGAGCGGTAGTTGAGGTAGTGGTTCTGGAAGGCGTCGAAGCGGAGTTCCAGCTTGCCGTTCTTCGTCGTTACAGCGTCGGGATCATACCACTGCATTTATTAGCTTGTGACTTTTTTTTTTTTTTGAAAGAGACAAGGCTGATTCTTACCTCGAGATCCTGGGTGACACCGTACCAGATGTCGACGGCCTGCAGGTAGGGGTCGTCTTCCTGGAAGAACGTCCGTCCATCGAGATTGAACTCGTCCGAGAACTGCTCAATTAGCACTATATCAGCAAGAATATACGAGCAAGGCCAAACGCACCACTAGCTCGAGGTCCTTCCCACTGGCGGACTTCTTCTTCATGGCGGACTTGGGCGTGTCTGGATCGATCAGGCCGGTCCGTATGTTCTTGAGCAGCGGTATATCCACGTCTATACACATGGGGTCGCCCGCACATCCTCCCTTGATGCTCGTCAATCCCTGGATATACGATCTGAGAGTTGTCAGCATAGAATTCCATCAAAAGCGGTCTGAGTGGCGAACGTACATGACGGGATATCCGATGAAGAGGGTCAGGACACCGCCGATGAGGAAGATCAGGGCACCGATGTTGGTGATGCCTCGCTTGTGCCAGATATCGCACTTGCGCTCCTTGTCGTTGGGGTCCGGGTTGTGCAGCTCGTCGTCCTTTTCGACATCGTGCGGGTAGACGATCAGGTCGCCGTCCGGGAAGATGGCAAACTTCTCCGTCACGGTCTGCGTGGTGATGCCACCTTCGTCGTCGCTGCTGCCGGCCCGCGAGGGGACCCGCGAGTCGTCAAAGGGGCTCGAGTAGGTGTATCCTCCATAGCCGTAGCTGGCATGGCGACTGGCCGCGTCCGAACTCCAGCTGGTGCGCCGCGAGGAAAAGCTGGTGTAGTCTGCCCCATAACCACCGCCACCTGAATAACGCTGCTGCTGCTGCTGCTGCTGGTTCTGAGAAGTTGAATATGGATATCCGCTCTGGGAGTCGTCTACGTAGGCCCGCGAGCGAGGCAGGCTTCCTCCCGGCCCCGGCACGGCGAGGCGTTCGGTGGACTCGTTGCGGGAGAGCGAGTCAGCGGGAGCCGGGGAGGGCGAGAAGGTGCGCTGCTGGGGCGAGATGAGGGCCCGCGGCGTGATGGGCGAGGGACCAGCGAGCGTGCTGGCGGAGGAGATGTTGTTGTTGTTGCTGCTGCTGCTGCTGGCGTCTGCGAAGGGGTTGCTGGGTTCTCGCTGGACCTGGGAGTTGATCTGGAGCGTGGGAGTCTTGCGGAGGCGGTTTGGCGGGTGTCCGCTGCCATTGCCGGGCCCGAGAGGGTCCATGGTCGAGTCTCTCCTATATCACAGTCATCTGTTGAGGCGTGGATGCTGCTGTTGCGGTGTTGGTGTTGACGATGCTGGTGTTGGTGTTGTTGATTTGGCGTTGTTGATGTGCGATGGCGAAGCTGACGTAGACAAAGAGCGGCCGGACAGCCACGCAGACAGTATTATTAAAGCCTTATTAAGGGTGATATTGTAGATAGTCGTAGGACAGTCGAAGGATAGCCGTAGGATAGCTGATAGACAGTGTTGATAGAGTGTTGACAGTGTTGACAGTGTTGACTGAGGAAAATTGCAGGGAAAAGTCAGGCGAAGCTAAACACGACAAGACCAGACAGACTCGATAGATACAGAAGATACACCGACAGCAGAAAGACAGTCGAAGACAGCGAGAAAAGACTGAGGAATCAAGAGACGCAAGACTCAAGACAGATCCACCGCGGGTTCCTGAAACCCTTCGTCAACCTGTCTTACTCCCATCCCATTCCCATCGCGGTGCGTCCCTTCATGACGTCGCCACTGGGCCTCGCAAGCCTCCCATCCCATCCCATCCCATCCCCTGGCGTGGAAATTAAGTGATACATCCCAGCCCGCCCGTCTTAGTCAATAATCAGGCCGGCCGCCTCCAAGGCAGGCCTTGGTCCTCCTCCTGCTGCTGCTGCTGCTGCGGCGTCGCTGCATGGCTGCTTGCCCTGCCTTGCCTCTGCCCGCCCGCCCGCCGATCGCCCATCGCCCAGCCAGCCAACCGTCCGCCCCCTTTTTCATCGTAAGAGATTTCAAGCCAAGCGATCCTCATCTAGTTTTACCTAGTCGACTGGACTGACTGGCTTTAGGGCTCGTACGGAGTAATAAAGTAAGGGCAAAGAAAAAAAAAAAAAAAAAAAAAAAAAAAAGCTAGGTCTCGACGGCCCTCGCCTTCAGACCGAGCAGGCGGCCCCCGTCGACGTCGAGGGCGAGCAGCCAGTACTCAGCGCGAGAATGGTCGTGCTGCACTCTGTAGACTCGCACTTCAGCTGCCGACGCTGCGGCCGACGCGGATGCGGTGGACGAGCAGGCGGCCTTCACTGCCTCGAGGACTGACGTGTACTGGCCGCGGCGGTCGAACTGGGCCGGCGAGAGGACGCTCACCTGGACTTTGGGCGCGGTGGAGCCGTGGACGAGCTGTGGGAACTCATCTACGTGGAAGTAATATTAGCATTAGAATCTTCAAGGTAGAGTCGTAGGGAGTAGAAGTAGAGAGAGTAGAAGTAGAGAGAGAGAGAGAGATACCCTCGGAGGGGAAGTGGTCGAGGGCCAGGACGACGGGCTCAAAGGGCTCGTCGGTCTCGGAGGAGTAGAAGGCGTCGACGCGCAGGCTGGGAGGGACTCGCTGCTCGTCGACGTCCAGCGTCTTGCTCGAGATGAAGCCGGAGTCGTGATCGTCTTTCTTGCTGGGCTTGTCGGTGGCTGTGGCTGTCTCGAGGCCCTGGTTGGCCTTGTCGAGGAACGCGGCGTAGGCAGAGTCGGACGACATCCTGCGAAGTTGGCGATGTTGACACTGTTGACGGTGATACTGTTGGTACTGTTGACGGTGATGGTGAAGAGTAAGTCGGTTCGAGGATAACGAGAGAGAGAGACGAGAGAGAGCCCGTCCAGCCCTTATGACGCAAGCCAGGCTCGCTCGCATGGTGTTGTTGGTGGCGAGTTACTTCAGACTTAGACTACTTTATACTATACGTATACTAACACTCGCACTTAATACTCAGAAATCGTTTTATTATCATGTCATGGCTAGAGTTACGAAGACGAAGCAAGATCCTTCTTGAGAGTGCCCAGGAACGCCCGCTTCTCGGCTGGCGTCTGGTAGGCGCCGTGGCCGAACTTGGAGGAGGTGTCGATCCATTTGAGGTCGACCTTCTCGGTGGCCTTGCGGGAGACCTGCGGCCACAGGGTCTTGCGCAGGGTGACCACGCGCTTGCGGACGCCGGGGATCGAGCCCTTGAGCATCACGTAGTCGTTCTTGACCTCGCCGTAGCGGACGAAGCCGCCCATCCTAGACGCCGTTAGTATAAAGATGAAGATGAAGACAAAGAGGGTGTCTTACGGGGTGATTCTCTTCTTGGAGACGTCAAAGTCGGTGGAGGCATTGCCCTCGTCGTCGGCCTTGCCAATGCGGTAGATCTTGTGGTTGGCAGAGGTGCGGTGGTGGTAGCCGTCCTGACCGGCACGCGCAACGGTCCACTGCACATGCGAAGGATGCCAGGCGCCGATACACGCAACCTTTCGCAGACCCTTGTGCGTCTTGCGAGGCAGCTTCTTTGTGCCCCATCGCGAGGTAACGCCACTGAAGCCGTGGCCCTTGGTGACGGCAATAACATCCACCACCTCGTCCTTCTCAAACACGCTGTCGACGTCAATCGGCTTCTCAAACAGCCCGTGTGCAAACTCGACCTTGTCCGCGATGCTGCCGCCGTTGACCTGGATCTCCATCAGATGGGCCTTCTTCTGCTTGAGCGGGGTCTTGCGGATCTGGGTGTGTGCGAGCAGGCGCACGACGGTGCAGTAGTTCTTGATGCGCTCGAGCTCGCGGGTGGTGGTGGAGGCGTCGGCGTGGGTTTTGGCGTAGCGGGTGAAGGCCTTCTTCTTGCTCTTGTACCAGTTCTTGTAGAAGCGGCGCTTGACCTCGTCAGACAGGTGGTCGGCCCAGACGGTGGTCAGCGAGCGGAGGCCGCGGGGGGTCTCGATGTAGCCCACAATGCCAACAGCAATCATCTATCTCTGTCAATCACCCTTCTTCTTCTTCCTTCACTTTCGATATGGACAACCTACTGGTGGGGTCTCGACGATGGTAACAGCCTCGACAATCTCCTTGCGGTGCATCTTGGCTCCGGGACGCTCGAGATCTCGCACGATCGTGGTCATGCCGGCCTTGTAGCCCATCGTGGCAGTGAGGTGGACGGGCTTCTTGGGGTCATCTTTGGGGAAGCTTCACGCCGTCAGCCTACGTCTTCAAATATAGATATATATATATATAAATCCTACCTCTTGACCTTTCCACGGTGTCTGGCAGCGCGCTTTCGCGGCAGGTAGGCAAGAGAGCCTGTCTCATCGTCAGTCTCATCGTCTTCTACTCCCAGCTTCTCTCTCTTCACTGTCTCGACGTCGTTGTCTTACCGTGCCTCGGGGCTTCGTATTTTCGGTGACTCCTGCAGCGCGATGGTCAGCTCCCAGTTCACTCAATTGTGGTCTCCTGCCTGCTGGGCGTCTGTCTGCACTCACATCTTGACCCTCTGTCGACCCTTGGGATGTCCTGCGTCGTTGGTTGTCCGTCGGGAAATTCGCAGCAGGTTGAAAGTTCTTCTTCTTCGACTTTCGCTTTCTCGCCCTCGCTTAGTCTTTTTTGGCTTCGCTTTTTTTTGTGCGCTTGCCGAGTGTGTGATTATGTAAGAGTCACATGAGATCACGTGTAGAACATAGACGTAAAACATGGGAAAAGACGATGAAGAGGAAGATATCAAGATGGAGAAGACGATGAAGAGAGTAAAGATAGAGTAGGGGCTGGGTAGATGGAGGTGAGATGATGTTATAGTCACTACTCTGTCTACTGCATTACTTCTATCTGCTCGATAGTTGTGGTACCTGACAGGAGATGATGACGGTAGAGGACGATAGACATGTTTACCCCTACTTGATACCCTACTAGGATGGAATGATAGGGATAGATGATTCTCCAATTGCTGGACAAGTCTTCTGCAGACACATATGGATACCTGCGTATCTACAGACAACATCTCTCACTCCACTGATGTCTATTTTGTGACTATACTCTACTACCAGACTGCCAAAGACGGATGGCGAGAATGGTACGTCAAACAGGATCCCCAGCCAGTCCAGACAGCTAGCTCCCAGCAATCCAACTGATATCCATACTGATGAAACACAGCTTTGACCAAGGCGATCCTATTCCACAGAACTCCTTAGATGTTTACCTAAGTACGGAGTTAGATTAGATGCAGACTGGAGACATCAACCATAAACTTATCCAACCGGGTACCAACCCCATCTCAAGCATCTAATCAGTACTTTAGTAAATAAATAATCCTGTCTTACCCAGCCAACTGACTGCCTTACGGAGTGAACTGGACCCTGCATGCTTTAATCTGTGGCGTGAGAGCTCGCCTAACCCTTCCCTCAACCTGAACTCCCGCTGGCCCGGGGCCCCGATGGGGAACTGGCCATAATATAAGAGTCAGTTAGTAGCAACTGATAGTGCTTCTAGTGCAGTTATACAGGCCCATTTTAAGCACCGGGGAACGTCGACTGAGCGGTTATAACGTCGATGTCTAAGGACAGGGATCTCGGCTCTCGTGAGTGATGTCCCCCGGAGCTTAATACTACCGCCTGCATCCAATCACCAAGACGGGCTTGCTCGCAGAGCTAATGGAGTTACGTAGTGATGTCGTCGTGACTTGTCGCTGCTAGTCGAGATAATAATGTGCATAACTTCTTCATCCCCAACAGAGCCATATGCAGCCTCACCTTATCTAACCTTCATGCTGCTGGGTAAAAGCTCCTTTCCCAAGCGGCCACTAGACATGGGCTCTTCGGCAGAGGATCGACGCTAGACCAGACTGACTGACTAACTGCCAGGCAGACAAACGGATAATCGTATCTATGTGTGACTTGATGTACACGCCTAGTACTCGTGGACTGTGGCTCGGCGAGCTCGGAAGCAGCCAAGCTGCTGGACACGTAAGAGATTCTTTCTCTGCTTACCACCGCTTACCGGACCGAGCGGAGCCTCGCTCGCCCATGGATGGTCGTCCACATGTTCAAGTCAGCATTAAAGACGATCGATCCCCATAGCCTGACGTATCCGGTAGACGCCCAGCAAATGCACCCACGGACATTTGGCTAGCGGCGAAAAAAACAAGGGAGAGACAACAGCGGAACTCTCTTACGTCGCTTGTGCAACGACCGCTGACCGGCAAGTATTCATGCTCTCTCATCGGCCAGAAGTGACCCGGTATCAGTAGAACAAACCGACGACGGGTGGCGGCTACACTGACCAGAAACACCAAAAAACCTGTTTTGCCGGCGTCTATATAGGCGAGTCAGCCATCTATCTGCTTAAGCAGCCAAGTAGTGGTCTACTACCAAGTTGTCGAGAGTGCATATGTACAGGGGAAGTATGTATGTATGTGTGTGCGTCCTTCTGGCGGCCTGCATACAGACCTCGCCGGACGGGCGTGTGGCTTGCTTAAGTGACGTGACTGATGCGGGTGCTGCATGCGATCTGCTCGCAGCCTACACTCTAAGCGATCGAATCTATCATCTTCACCTTCATCTCATCTTCATCTTCATCTTCATCTTCATCTTCATCTTCCTCGTCGTCGTCGTCGTCTTCATCTTCTTCGTCTCGCCGGTTTTTACTGCTGTTTTTGTCGACTTTATATTCGACGGCCCCACATGCTGACTCATCTGAGCTTAATTACACGTGACTAACCCTAACTCCGCGACTGCCCAATATAGCTTAGTCAGCAGCAATAAATAAAGGGGCTTCGATACTTCGATACTTCGATTCTTCGATTCTTCGATAGGGGTTGGGGAGGGTTGAGGTTGAGGCTAACGAGAGCCATGTCAGGATGGCTAGGGGGGGTAGGTAGGGTAGGGCGTTATAACTCGTCGTTTGGCCGGAGTAATATTCTATAAACGGCGCAGGACCATGACATGCATGGATCACTCGCCCAACTAGGGGGGCCTCTTTTGAGTGGTTTCAGAGGGGTTTTTTATCTCCAGAGCTAGAGTTCCCTGGTACCGTGGAACAGCGACGGCGTCCCAGAGCCCAGCGCCAGGGGAAGCGGAGGGAACTTATGTGAGTACTTAGTATACTTAGTGCTGGTGCTAGGGTTGCAGCTAGCATGCACCCTAACAGGCTGGCTCGCCTGCCAACTCGCGAACGCAACGAACTGGGTCACTGCTCATGCATATCTGCCGTGCTGTAGCCCAAGCCGAAGCCTAAGCCTCTTCTTGTTGTCTCTACCGAAGCTGCACATAAAGGTAACTCTAGCCCTCCCCCCCCCTAATCCTAGGCCATCCCCCTCCCCTCCCTTGTGTTGTCTGTTTGCCTGCCTGCCTGCCTGCTGCTGCTGCTGCTGCTGCGGTCTTGGGGGATGCTGCTTTATGACGCTGCAACGATGCTGCAACTGCAAGGGAGTGTGCGACCCTCCTTGTCATAGGTGTGGGTGACGGATCAGTAGGTAGGTCGGTAGGTAATATGTAAGTGTCCGTCGAGTGGGTGTAGTGGTACACGCTACCCGATCGATCCATGACCCATGAGCCGTGTATACAAGCCCTCAGCTGCAGGAATAATATAGAATAAAATGTGTCTGCCCGTCCGGAATATGCATGTGTGTCTGTGTCTGGATGGAGGACGGAAGTGGAAGTATGCAGGTATGCGTCGACGGATGGAGGTGGACGGAGTACGGATAATAATATAAAAAAAAAAAAAAAATCAAATCATCT